AATTCATTGGCTCACAGTATCAGAAGCAAAAGTCTGAGATGAAGATGTCCACAAGGCTGTATTCCTTCTGGGCATTAAGAGGACGTCTGTTCCGGATCTGTTGTGAAGGAAGAGCTCTAAGGAAAGGTTTGGTCCATGACTCTGGTTGTTTCTGCTGTTTGTTGGCAGCCTTTGGGATCTGACTACTTCACACAGATCTCTACCTTTATGTAGTCTTCTCCATGTCTCTGTGTGTGTGTGTGTGTGTGTCCTCAGATTTCCCATTTGTGTAAGAATAAAAGTTATTATCTTAGAGGGTGATGCACACCAGTGTCATGCCCTCTTTTTTGAAAATAAAAATACTTTTTTATCTGAAAGACAGAGTTTCAGTGATAGGGAATGAAAGGGATCTTCCATCATCTGGTTCACTTCTCAAATGGTCGTAACAGCCAGGGCTGCGCCAGGCTGAAGCCTGGAGCCAGGAACTCCATTTGGATCTCCAACATGGATGGAAGGGACCCCAATACTTCAGCAGTCATCCACTGTCTTCTGATGTGCATTAGTGAGAAGCTGGAAGGGAAACAGCTTAGCCATGTGCCAGCACTTTGATAAATGATGCTTGTGTTAATGACATTCTCTTAAGTAATTAGAAATCTACCACAATCTTGTTTCCAAATAAGGTCATACACTGTGCAGGGTTAGTGGTAGGAGTTAAACTTTTGTTTGGGGGAGGGTTTCCAAAGCTAAATACATAACACATACATTAATGAGATCAATTTTGATTAGTTATTTAATAATTGTCCTAGTCTATTTGGACAACTATGACAATACTTGTACAGGAGCTTTGGTAGCTTAAATAGCATTCATTTCCCACAGTTCTGGTGGATGAGAAGTCCAAGACCAGGGTACAGGCAGTTTCAGAGCCTGGAGATGGATTCAGTCCTGGTTCATGAGAGTTCATCTTTCTACTGTGTCCTCACAAGTAAAGAGACAAGGCATAAGGAGTGAGAGAGTTCTCAGGGGCCTCTTTTATGAGAACATTATCCAACTCATTTGTGCTCTGTTCTTATGAGCAAATCATCTTGCAAAACCCCTATCTCCAAAGAACATAACATTAGGATTTCAACATGCAAATTTTACAAGGATTCAGAAATTCAGTCTAAGCAAGAAGGCAATAAGCAGACCATATTCTACTGTAAAATAACTTCTAAAAGGACAAATGGGTCTTAAAATGTTCCTGTATAGATATCAAATAAAGAAGAAAGTAATATAAGAATATATTTTTCCTTTACCCTGAATCCCCTTATCCATCTCCTTGCTAACAAACAGTTGAACAATTGGGCAAAAGATTGTCTCTTCCATCCCTGTGGTTTATCTCTACCCCTGCTATATTATCTGGCAAATCGGGTGTTTTTGGACTGTGCTGTGCAAATATATATGCTCCCTTCAACCAGCCTTCTGTGAACTCAGAATGGTATTCTGTTGCCTACAGATACTACCAAAGTATAGTACAGGAAGTAAATTGCTGCTCTTAGCTTTACACACAAATAACATTTCTCAGTGCATGTGATATTCACTGTCCAGAGATTCATGTGGCTGTCAGTGACCATACTTATGGACAAGACTACAGAGTTATTACATTTTTCTCTGCTTTACTTACCTCCATGTGCTATTTTATTTGTTTAAAGATTTATTTATTTGCTTGAAAGACAGAGAGAGAGAGAGAGAGAGAGAGAGAGAGAATCTTTCTTCCACTGGTCCACTCCTGAAACGGATGAAACAGCTATGGCTGTGCTAGGAGGTGGAAGCCAGGAACCAGGAATTTCATACAGGTCTCTCACTTCGATGGCAGGTCTCAAACAATTGGGCCATCTTCAGCTGTTTTCCCAGGTGTGTTAGCAGGGAGCTGGATCAGAAGTGGAGCATCCTGGACACGTATCAGTAGCCATATGGGATGCCGGTGTCACAAGCAGCAGTTAACCTTCTGTCATAACCCTGGCCCTGCTGTACTACTTAAACCATTACTTAATCTATACCACTATGCTACCTGTCTTTCCTCTTTTCTGCTTGTTGTTCCTTTTTTTACTTACCACTACCCTTCTGCATCTCAAAGCCATACTTAATAAGGCTGAATTTTAAGAGACACTTGAAGCCAAGCAAAGAATTTCCTTCTTTCTTGTAGAGATTAAGCCCATCACTTCAAATGAGGAGTGACCTTACACTGTTTGTATTTCTTAGCTTTTTCCATTCAGTGGTTGCTTGGTGACTACCTTATAGTCATTAAAAACTATTTCAGTTTAAGCCAGTATTTCAGAACTACTTATAAAAAACTGATGATTTTATAAATGTAATTTCTTAATGACCATTATTTTACTCTTTCCTTTTACTGCTCTCTTTCCTGAATCTCTGTAAATGACCTTTTGCTTAGGACTATTAACATTTTTCACTGATTTTTGGTGATACAAATTTACGAAGTCTAGACATACTATGAATTGTTACATACTTAGAATTTGACTGGACTTTTACTACAGATTTTAGTTATTTTTTTCAGTGTGATATCATGGAAAATGCCTCCTAAACCAACTTTTATTTGTAAATGTCTACCTAGCAGAATTCATTGAATAAGTTTGGATGAATATTGGATGTGGAGCAAATACTGTGTGACATCAAAGGGAAAAGCCCTTAATATATTCTACTTACAATGATTAGTAGTAGAATGGTCTATAGGCGATGAGTTCTGAAATTGTTTTGACAGAGAAACTTCAGTGCTGTAATGTGAAAACTCATACTACACACAGGTCCAAAGAAAGATCTCTGACGAAGGGCTTCACTGAAGCAACAATACATTTTGTCTTGAGATCATGGAATATTCATATGTGCATTCTTTCCATGTACCTTTTCCCCACTTTTATGTGTACAGCAATAAGATAGTGTCATATTTATATTATTGAAATGATAAGCTTTGTCAATCTTCTCAAAATTTTCTTTGTTTCACTTGTGCAGATTTGTCTGTGCCTACGTGTCTTAATTGTATACAATTATATTTTCTGTGTGCATTCATGTATGTACACCAAAACCAAAATACTGGATAGTTCTAGCATCATGAGTATCCTTTTACTACCATGTTATAGTCCAATCTGCCTCCATCTACTGCTCTCCCATACCTCTGGCAAACATTAATCTTTTATACATTTCTAAAATACTACCATTTCCAGAATATTATAAAGTAAAGTCATATAGTAAATATCTTTATGAGTTTGGCTTTTTACACTTAGTATGGTGATCTAAAGATTTATCCAAGTTGTTGCATGGATCAGTGGGATCATCATTTTCATTTCTAAGTATAATTTCATATACTACATACACGATATTTTTTACTGAGATTCCCATTGAGAATATCAGGTTGGTTTCTTTTTTGGGTCTATTGTAGATAATGCTGCAATTAATATTTGTAAATTGCATTTTGCACACTCCTAAGTTTTCATTTATTTTGTATAAATGCAAAAGTAATATTTGAGAGGTTGCATGATAAATTTATGTTTACTTTTATGAGAAACTGCCAAACTCCCCTATTGCAACCATTAGTGTATGAACACTCCAATTTTCTCAGCAGCTGCCATCATTGTGTTTATTAGTTTCTAATTTAAGATCATTTCTAAGTATACACAGCATTCACCTTCTGAGTATGAGTAATTGAAATTAACATTTCTTGTTGGAATCTCAATGTAGAAATATCATTACAAATCCAGAATATTAGTATGCTATTGAAATTCTAACATGTTTTATGATCTAATAAGGATCATCAAGTGAATTTGGCATACTAATTTTGTTGAATTTACTGGGATCCCTTAAAGTCATGAAATAAGCTTGCCTTAAAGTTGTGTTGAATTTCAACAGGAAAGCACCAATTTTGGACTTGAACAAATATTGGATCCTAAAGCATTAGACTAATTGCTAAAATTCAAAACTGAAAATTGTCTGTTTCTATATTCAAGTATCAAAGTCAATATAAAATTTCATAATGCTTACTTGATTGTGGAAACATTTTGTTTGATGCATAACTCAAATCGGTAGGTAGAAATTTGGAAATTATACAGATTGAAATATTAAGTATGCACTGTTAGGTGATTCATCAAGTTCATTTCATAAATAAGTAAAAGCCTTTACTAATTCTACAATGATATATAGCCATTTAGTAGATGATTGTCATATTACATTTAGATGAGTTTCCATTTAGGAATAACTTAAACATGATATAGATGTATCTCATTATATATGTTATGTTAAAATTTAAGCAGAAAGACATCAGCATAATAGATACATTAATTTCAGTACCTAAAATCTAGTGTTTTAAAATTCATCAATTACCTTATAATGCTTTTATAATGTTCAAAAATCCAGTGCCATAGATATATTATCATATGTATTTTAGAAAAATAGTTTTTCAATATCATAAAGAAGCCACTAAAGGAATGAAATTTGAACCTAGGTTACCAGTTATGAGATTCATTAATAGTCCAGGTAAGAAATAAAAAAGAGTATGAATGATTAAAAGTGACTTGAATGATTTTTTTGATGCCATTAATATTTCTACCTTCTCACTGTAATCATTCTACCTTCTCACTAACCATTCCACCCACACTTTCCTGAATAGTCATGAAGTCTACATTATATACTCTCATCATACTCTTGTTTTATCCACACATTTAATACCAATTTGACCATTCAATCCAACATATCATTTTTATACAGGGGTCAAAAAAGGCTTTTCACATATTATCAGCTTATAAAGATAAATATTAAAATATCGAGAGGAAATGTCTTCTTTTGGACTTGCTTTTGATATAGTCATTGGCAGGAAAAGAAAGAAAAAAATGTTTGATACATACATTTAAGAATTAAATTTGCAGGATGCATCTGTTATAGTGCTCCATAGATATTTCAATATATTAATTTTGATGTTCAAAGTAATCATACTGTAAATGTATCAAACACTAAAATTTGTTTTCCTGAATGCACAGGTACCTCTGTTCTACAGGTGACAGCTACTGATGCAGATGACCCCACCTATGGAAATAGTGCTCGAGTGGTATACAGTATTCTCCAGGGGCAGCCATACTTCTCGGTAGATCCTAAAACAGGTGAGAGTATTGACATATAATTTTATGCAAGTACTTCTGCACTAAAAAGAAAGCCTATTTGTATCACTATTGCAAATATAGTTTTGTCAAACTTTGTTTTATATATTTTTCATACCATTGGTTATGAATGATATACTACTATAGTTTTAATGATCCGTGATTATTTTATTTTAAAATGTACCATTTAAAGCCGGTGCCCTGGCTCACCAGGCTAATCCTCCGCCTTGCGGCACCGGCACACCACGTTCTAGTCCCGGTCGGGGCGCCAGATTCTGTCCCGGTTGCCCCTCTTCCAGGCCAGCTCTCTGCTGTGGCCAGGGAGTGCAGTGGAGGATGGCCCAAGTACTTGGGCCCTGCACCCCATGGGAGACCAGGAGAAGCACCTGGCTCCTGCCTTCGGATCAGCGCAGTATGCCGGCCGCAGCGCGCTGGCCGCGGCGGCCATTGGAGGATGAACCAATGGCAAAAGGAACACCTTTCTCTCTGTCTCTCTCACTGTCCACTCCGCCTGTAAAAAAAATAATAAAATAAATAAATAAATAAAATAAATATACCATTTATTAGTAAAATGGTCATCTTTCATTTGATTATTGTTTATAGCCCTTGCCTATATTCCCTTTGAGCTATGGTCTTTTCACTTTTCAGTTGTCAATGTGGAGTATTAAACCTTTGAATAGAATGTAAATTAATAAAATGTTATCTTAAAACTCAAAAAAAAACTCAAAAACTAAAAGATAAAGGAAAGCAAGAAAGACAAGGAAAGCAAGGGAGAGGCAGGGAGGGAAGGAATGAAGGAGGGATGGATAAAGGAAAGTATCATACTCTTAGAGTTGTATCAATGAATTAATTTGAAATTGTTCTGTTTGCATTAATATCATGTTAACCTGAGAATTAAAGAAAATAAAGTGCTTCCTTTAAGTGAAAACAATTAACGGATTAGAAAATCCAAATTAAAAGCCATCTAAAAAAAAGAAAGCAATGCTTTTTATTTCGTTTTCTCTTCTTCACAGATATTTTAAACACATTCCACCATCACTTTTTCTAAAACAATTAATGAGATTGAACAATTGAAGATTTTTTTCTTATTATTTTGAATATTATTTATTTAAAGATACTTATACTTGAGTAGTCCCATCACATTTACATATGTACTTCCTCTTTTAAAATTTTTAGTATCAGATACATAGAATGACATTTTTAAAGATATTATTTGTTCTAATTACATATTCATTTAATTCTTATTTATTAAGAGTTTTACATACTTTATTTGTCTTTGGTGGTCACACCAGCATGCATATATATATATATATATATATACACACACCACACATATATATGTATATTGAGATGGGTGAGGTCTTGATATTTTTTCTTTTTTTTTTTTTTTTTTTTGACAGGCAGAGTGGATAGTGAGAGAGAGAGACAGAGAGAAAGGTCTTCCTTTTGCCATTGGTTCACCCTCCAATGGCTGCCGCGGCCGGCGCACTGAGGCCGGCGCACTGCGCTGATCCGAAGGCAGGAGCCAGGTGCTTCTCCTGGTCTCCCATGGGGTGCAGGGCCCAAGTACTTGGGCCATCCTCCACTGCACTCCCTGGCCACAGCAGAGAGCTGGCCTGGAAGAGGGGCAACCGGGACAGAATCTGGTGCCCCGACGTGGACTAGAACGCGGTGTGCCGGTGCCGCAAGGCGGAGGATTAGCCTAATGAGCCGTGGTGACAGCGATATTTTTTCTAATGAGCAAATTCTTCAGCCTTTGCTATTATTTTCTATAAAAGAAATTAATTGAGAACTACTCTAAAGATAAATATTTTTCAGGAAAAATATATTCTCATCTTTTCTTTCGATCATATATTATACTACCATATGCCAGAATAAAGGGTATTCAATAATTCAAGATATGGTTATAGCAGCAAAATACAATAATTGTGAAAAGTTCATATCCTCATTGACAATTGGTCGCTAAAAATAGGCTAAAAGCTAACCTAATTTAATTTATACAAGTGCTTGTGGACAAGTAAGTCTCAAGTTTTACCAAGATTTCCAGAATCTCCCTGGTGATTAGCAAGATGAACAATATAGCAGTTTAGGATGTTCCAGCAGCTCATTAGGTCCGTTCTGATCACAGCAGATGCACTCTGAATCCAATTAACATGTGAGACCTTCTAGTAAATAGCACAGCTGCATTACTAAACATAGAAGAGAACCATGTCTGGTCATAAATATCTCATTTTCATATACTTGCAGCCTTCTCCTCACTTTTCGGGGTACCCTGCCCCTAATTCTCCAGTTTCCAGCTCTGGCAGAAGTGGGGAGCCTTCTTTCTGCCATGGATTTCTGTGGTCTGGCGCTACCATGCAACTGCAGGTGGTATTCAGAATTCAATAAATCTGTAGCAGGCTAATCTTTAACTTGATAACTTTATATGGCCCACAAGTGATATTATAAATATCCAAATTGCCAGTGGGCCACCTTCTACTGCTTTCCCAGTTCATTAGCTGGATCAGAAGTGGAGCAGCTGGGACTTAAACCGGCACCCATATGGGATGCTGATGCTGCAGGTGAAGGCTTAACATAGGAAGCCACAATGCCAGCCCCTCTCACTTTAAATATATATCTTCTTACAGAGGAAGGAATCAAAAAAAAAAAAAAAAACCCAAATGTTCTAATTGCCATCTTTAGGATATCACACACACACACACACACACACAAGCATATAGCTTTATCCCATTAGCCATCCATATCAATAGCCAAAGGTTAATTCATAGATAAATGCTATATTTAGTTAATAGAATATTGCTAAATGTAGTCAACCAAATGATTCATTGCAAACATAAAAATGTTGCTATTTAAATACTGCTTTTAATACTTGCTTTGCTCTTGTATTTCTTTGCTCCTTTCCTTAACAAATAGCACAAATTGAATGAAATAGATGCTTCCAGGTTGAGATATGTTAATGTCAGTGTTATACTGCCTAATGCATTATGGGAATCCATGAGTTAATGCCCTACTAGCTATTAAGGAAGAGAAATCATTTCTTAAAATTCCTTTAAATATGCAAATATCCTAGATAGACAATTATCTATAGAAAGTACTAAGAGGGGTTGTGAAAATAAAATACTATTTGTTCTCTTCAAATCTAAGACTTTTTGTGGCTTTTTTGGTTTAAAAACCCTATTAGAACGTAATTAAATATCATTAGAACAAATGCATTAATTTAAATTGTGCTTAGAAAATGAATGGAATAAAATCCAAGTGATGAAAACTATGGTATAAATTTAGAATGAGAATGCCTAAATCCCATAAGCAAATCAGTGCAATGAATTTAGTCTCATCTTTGGAAAATGTAGATACTCAATAAAATTCTGTTGTCTTCTTTCTTGAAGATTAATAAGGTAAGTCATCATGAGTCTTATATGAAGTTAAAAATAGCAAAAGATTGTTTTTTATTTGGAAGGAGTTTTTAGTCCAAATTTCTTAACACATTTTTGGAAAAAAGAAGATACCTTTTGCGAACTTTGTGATTAAATTTTGTCCCAAGCATTTTAAAGAAATCTTTTCCAAATATCATAATTAAAATATGCTACTAGGAAATTCTGAATGAGAATTTAAAAGAATAGGAGACAAAAGCAACCATGCATTCATCTTCAGTATCAACAAGGCAGACTAGAGAAATGTCTCTAGATGAGGTAGATTGGCCTCCTTCTGAAACAACAGTCATTAATGCACAGGTCTTGACCAACAACAGTCTTGATTCTTCACAATGACCTCTCCTTCACATCTTGTGCTAGAAATCAATCAACTCTACAAATGCACTCAGCTGAAGATCTCTCTGTTTCTTCCAATGTAATTGAAAACAAGGCCCTCTGCACTTTGTTTGGCCTGCATAATGTAATTAAATTAGTCAACATTCTTGGTTTTGTATAACCTCACAATGTTTATTTCATTTTGACACTGTACAAAATCTGCTGATTCCAATATTAAGTTTAAATAATTCTGAATGGAAACCTATTTGACAATACTTTTTCTCCTCCAAATCAATATATGAATTAATAGGTGAGAAGATAAAAGTTATAGTCCACAGTATCTACAGGACACACAGAGGATTCCACAGAATATGCTCTGCCAATGTATTTACTTCATAGTATATCCCCAATTGATAATAATAACAATAAAAGCAATGACAACAATTGCATGCACGAATAATTCCATATACATATTCAAATAATTTTGTTGTAATTGTGTTAACTGACAATACCCAGTGCTAAACACTTTACTTCTCTTGGAGCAAAATGGAATGCATTAGTTCAAAACTGTGCTATAGCATCAATTTACTGGAAGGAATATTACAAGCTGAGCATCCCAAATCTGAAAAATCCAAAATCTAAAATAATTTGAGTGCTGGAATAATGCCACACCTGACTTTACAAGATGGAGCTAGTCAAAATTCAGATGCACTAAAAATGTATACAATTACCTTCGGGCTGTGTATAAGGGACTTTATAAACTTTATGGAAAATGGAATTAAAGGATTATATTTTTCCCTGAATTTTGAAGCCCCCTTTATATGAAATATAAATGAATTTTCTGTTTAGACCTGGGTCCCCACTGAAAATTTTTTTTTTTATATTTCTGTACATATTTAGATATTTGAGAAATCCAAAAGGCTGTGGTTCTAAGCATTTTGAATAAGGGACAATCAACTTGTATCTCATTTTGAATCATTTAGGAAGAATTCTGCTTAGTTCCTGAACTGAGGGAGACTGTATATTGCAGGGTAATACAAGAAGAAATCCATTTTATTGTAACAACTTAATTTTTAAAAATTTATATAAATAAAGTTGAGTACCTTTTCATTTGATTATAGCCCTTAACCTATTTTAGTGCTAAACTGTTTTCTTTTTACTTTTTATTCATTGAACTCCTTTTTTGGTAGAGCCTTAAGCCTTTGAATATAATGTATATTGAAAATATTATCTCTGCCGGCACCGCGGCTCAATAGA